GGCCTGGCCCGTGGCCCAGCCCCCCGGCTGCCCACTGCCTGTGGAGCCTGCGCGGACGCCAGCCCAGCGTCCTGAGCAGAGGGGGTCGCTCTTTGACACTGAGTTTTGTTCCTCAGTAGATAACCGATAAAACGCCTCCAAGCCCGTGAGACTCTTGAATCGTAGTTTCAATTTCCTGGGCTGAAGGGAACAGGGCTGAGGACACCATTTTAATTCATCTTGACGAGCGAATAAGACGGCCATTGAGACCGCAGTGAGGACTGACTATATGGCCACCCGCTATACTGTCCGATGTGGTTTCATAAAACACGAAAGTGGTTTTCTTGCTAACTTGCCTCTTCCCCCAAAAGTAAGAAACAGGACAGAACACAACCTCATCCACTGTGCCGGCTCCTTTCAGCCTCTGGAAAGAACGGGCTCAGAGGGTGCAGCGGCGCACGGCGTCCGGTCCTGTGAACACAACCACCTCCCGTTCCGGATGCTTCTCAAGCCGCTTAAAGACGCTTGGAGAGAAGGCTTTTCATTCTTTGTCACTAAAAGAAGCGCTATTACAGTCTGTGAGTGACAGGCGATTTCCCAGCAGGACTCCAAGGTGTGCCTCCCTTTCTCGGAGGCTTGAGTCATAGCCTTCCGGATCCTTCAGAACCGATTAAATGCCGACGACGTCCAGAGTTGCACCTTTATCTCCTCGGGTCTGACTCACATCTCCACTTGCTGGGTATCTGGATGGTCACAGGCCATCTCAGCCTGCCCCACTCACTCTACACTCTCTCTCCCCCGACGGGAGCCACCCCGCAGTCACCCCCGTTAACCAGCAGGTCAGCGGGGCGCCTGCCTTCATCCTCCAGGTCCAACCAGCCTCCAGGTCCTGCTGGGCTTTCGCGTCTCCTCCCTCCGTCCCACTCACCAGTCAGACGCTCCTCGTCCGCCCCCACTGAGGCTCCAGGACGGTCTCTCTGACTCCAGTTTGGTCCACAATTCCTCCTTCCACGCGGCTGCCGGAGAACGCCATCTAGACCAGGCTGACCTGACACGTCCCTTCCAAAAACTCGTCAGCGGCCTCCCTTGTTTGTAGGGTGAAGGTCAAGACTGAGCAGGTGAGGTCCTAGGAGGACCAGCCCCTGCCTCGCGGGGGGTCACGCTTCGTGCCCCAGCCACCCATGCTCTGCACACCCGAGGGCGTTTTCAGCGTCCACCCTGCTGTGCGGTTCCTCTGCCGGGAGCTGTTCCAGTCCCCAAGACAGAATCCAGGTGTCCGGACCCGCAGCCAAGGGCCCTTGCTCCCAGGAGGGGAAAGGAGAAACTCAGTCTGGCCCATAATTTGACCTTTTCCACATCCTGTTGTAAATATCCTGGCAGGTGTTCACGACTTCTGTCCCTGGGAGGCAGAAGGAGGGGAGCTCCTTCACAGGAGATTGACCCTCATGACGAGAAATTAGCCGGCTCTTGCTGGGTGTGGATTTCTGAACCACTGGCCTGCGTCGGCAAGGCCGGCTCTCCGTTCCGTGGCTCTCAGAGAAACAGTCTGTGGCCCTTTTGGAGCGTGACACGCCAAAGTCGTTCATTCAAGTGGGTATTCCCTTTGTCCTGGCAAACACCCCCAGTGTGAAGTTTCCCACGATAACTTGGCTTGAGTTCAAAGACATTTTTCTTCTGTCAGCTTTGCGGCCCATTTAAGGTTTCCGGAGCCTAGCCGCACGCTGCAGGCTGTTGAAGATGGGGTCCCTGGCGCGGGGGTGCGGGGTGCTAGGGTCTGCGTGCAGCTGGGGCTGCCTCGGAGGAAAACAGGAGAACTCCGAGCTGCATGTAGTCTGTGACTAGTCCTTTCACACGTTTCTTTTTTACACCCGTGCGATGCACAGAAGCACACGGTCCTGATTTGTAAACAGGTGCACACACGTGTGTCGGGGAGCGTGTTAGAGACACGTTCCCAAGGGGTGTGCAGCAGGCCTCTGAAGCCGCGGCCAGGGCCTGCGCGCGAGGACCTCGATGTGAAGGCGGCAGGAGGTGACGGTAACCACTGGCCCGCGCCCGGCTCCTGCCCTGTACGCGCGCCACTCGCCGCTTCCACACCCCGAGGGAGGCCCCGCTCCCTGCTTTCCAGAGAGACACAGGCTCAGCGATGTCACCTGACGAGCCACAGCGACAGCTTATACTAGTAAAACACACAACAGCATCCCTGGCATGGCCCTGGGGAGAGGGTTTGGGGATGGCCAATCGGACTTGGTTTATATTCACTAGTCGGATAAAACTTCATTCCCACAAAGGAAACTGCTGTTACTCAACGGGGTTTCATGCCTTTTCCTATAAATTTCTACAGAATGATTTTTTTCAACATGAGCCATCTAACAGCTGTTTGAAGGATCAGACCACCCATTAGCATTTCACGCCCCTTTTTGCAGTTTAGGAACCACTTTCTCACACGAGCGATGTCCTCAGCCCCCTGAGACGCTGTGCAGGGCATCACCCCATTTCACATGTGAAGGAGTGAAGGGACGTGACCAGTTCTGGTCATTCCTTCGGTAAACTGTTTAAGCGCCAACTTAAGTGGGGAACGGGGGCAGAGTGACCAACAACAGCCTCTGCCCTCGTGGGCTCAGTTGGGGGCAGGAGTCGGCGAGCTGTGTCTGCAGAGGCCAGACGTAACGTCTCAGTCTTTGCTTGCCTTAAGGCCCCTGTTGCATCTGCTCAACTTGGCTCTGGTAAGACGTGGACAATGTGTAGACAATGCGTGTGGCTGTGTTCCAATAAAACTTTATTTACAAGAGCAGGTGTCCTGCCAGAATTGGCCCATGGTCCCTAATTTGCCCATCTCTGAGGTACAGGAGAGAACCAGTAAACCGGGAAAGTGATGGGGCACGATATTCAGGGAGCGTCGAGGGCTGTGAAGAGAACAGCACCCACGTTCGGGAGTGGCGTGGACTCCTGCCTGGATGGGCGCCAGGGACGGCTCATGGAGGGGAAGACGTTCGAGCTGAAATCTGACAGGAAGGACTGGGAAGAGCATCCAGGCAGGAGAGACAGCCGGGCAAAGGCCCTGAGGTAGGGCGTGGTTGAGGAATAAAAGGGAGGCCAGAGGCCTCAGGCAGGGAGAGTATGGGCAGTGTGGGCCGCGAGGGAGGCAAGGGCCACCGTGCAGGGCACTCACCACAGGCCGAGGGGGGGCGCAGGGAAAGGACACAGAGCTGCACCCCTCCCTTTCGTCCTTAGGACCTTCCAGCAGGCGATTCTCTTCTGGGAAGGATCCCAGATCAACGCACAGTATTGCTGAGTCCTCAGAGCAAGGAGACTCCGAGAGCCGGGGGCGGGGGGTACTCACTGAAATAACTCCTGGAAGCTGAGCCACCCCGGCCGGCTGCGCGGAGACACCAGGAGCTTGGTCTTCAAGTCAGGACATTCGGACACGATGGACTCCACTGCTGGGGCCACCTCCTCACTGGCCACCAGGCCCTTGGCCTTGGAGGCCCGCAGCCGGTAGAGGATGTCCTTGGCGGTCAGCTGCGTGGTGCCCGGCATGAAGACAAGCCCTGGGAAGGAGAGGCCCCCGCTGAGCGGGACTGTGGTCCCCTGGGTGAGACTGTGGCCGCCTGCCCTCCCAGGGGTCCCCGCAGGACCCTGACCCTGGGGGGTGGGGGATCCTAGAGCCCTGCTCAGAGGCCGGCAGGCCCTGGGCCTGGGGAGCTGTCCTTCGCCTTCCTGCCTTTGTGACCTGGAGCATGTTGCTGGGTCTCTCGGTGCCTTCCTTTCCTGATCGGTAAAATGGGGGAAGTAATGGTGTCTGGCATAAGGAGGCATCACAACAGTGGGCCATTGCTGTGCGCCATTTTCATCACGATCATGTCACACGTACATCGCGCTGGGGCTTCTAACACACTCTCACGGGCACTTCGAACCAGCGGTCCCCAAAGTGAGTTTTGCAAGATAATCCACAGGAGGATGAGGAAAGAATTTAAAATTTAAAAAAATTATTGAAATATTGGAATTCTTTTTACCTCATTTTTGTACATATTTTAGAACATGCATGTTATATTACAGTATAAATAGCTGTATCCAGATGGGGGGTGTGTGCTGCCGGAAGCCACCGCGTACAGCACTGTCAGGAGCGTGCACAAGGGCGCGGCAGGGCTGACGCCAGGCGCCGATGGTTCTGCTGAGATCGCGGTGGCTCGAAGCAACCTCCCGACCTGATAGCCCCCAGTAAATGTCTGCTGGGCCTTCCTGACCTCACTGACCTGTGAGACGCTCTGTCTGCTACGTGCCTGCCGTGCTTTACTGACAGCAAGATGTGTGTCTAACACTGAACAGAAGCGGACAAGGCCAGGGCTCAGTGTGTCTCGCCTAGAGAGAGGTTTCTACCCGGCCCCAATGCCTTCTATTTTCATATTTTTGTCTAGCATTTCCATTTGTGCGTCGGCCCCTCCTGCAGATCCTGAACCCCGCCATGCAGGTCGGGCAGTGTGTCCCAAATATTTTTATTGGTAAATTGCGTAGCCAGAAAAGCCTGGAGACCACTGTTCCACACAGCTGCGTGGGTCGCAGTGGCTGCCAGTGGTGGCCTATGAGATGGGCTGGTGAGCGGCAGAGTCGGCCCTCATGCACTGCTCAGGCTGAGCTCACCCCAGGCCTCACGCCATCCTAGACTCTGGCTGGAGGCGGCCGCTCCTATGAGCGGAGAGCGGGGGAGGAGGTGAAAGGCGGTTTGTTCTGTCTGAAGTGAGTCAACGGGAAGGAAGCAGCGTGTGTGGGAAGAGCCACTCTCATTGACTGAGCACTTATTATGTGCTTGGTGTCTCACTTAAAATCAATCCCACTGACGACATGGCCACTGGCTGAGGGCCACACAGTCAGTCAGTGGCAGCACCAGGATTCGAGGTTCGTATCTGAGACTCCCAAGACTTGTACCCGACCCGAGATTTATTTCCTGGTGTGTCCCTGAAGTCAGCTAAATAGGAGGAGGTAGAGTTGAATTCCTAAGAAGGAGACTTTATTTAAAAAATATATTTTAAAAGCTCTTACATCTCATCTCCTCTTGAGAAAACAGGTAAATATGTGATGAAGAGGAAGTAAGAAAACACCTTAGAGCCAGGCTGGTATGGCTCAGTGGTTGAGCGTTGACCTATGAACCAGGAGGTCTCGGGTTCGATTCCTAGGCAGGGCACATGCCCGGGTTACAGGCTTGATCCCCAGTAGGGGGCGTGCAGGAGGCAGGGGATCAATGATTCTCTCTCATCATTGATGTTTCTCTCCCTCTTTCCCTCTCCCTTCCTCTCTGATCAATAAAAAAATATATTTAAAAACCCCAGAAAGCACCTTAGAGCAGCGGTCTCCAACCTTTCGGACCTCACGGACCACCAGTTGGTAACCGCTGCCTTAGAGGATCTCAGATTGTTCACTCAATACAAAAACATAAGATTATTTATTTTGCAAACCACTTGATCTTATCAGCTCAGAAATTGTTAACACTCTCAGGGGCGTTGTGACGGCGACGGGTTCCACGGGGCAGAGAGGGAGTGCTGCTCTGGCTGATTGCAGACCGAACACACTTTATAGCAACAGGAGAACACGCTGCCACGGGGTGTGTGCAAGCATCTCCATCTTCACGCAGAAGACGTAATAACTTTGTTAGAAAACAATCAGCTGCTTGCTTAACATTTAATAAACTGAATGTTTTTGACTATTCAGTTTGTGGGTTGACTTTTAATCTTCACAATTCACAAATTGCATAAATCATGTTAAGTAATGCTAAATACATTTTTATGACATAAATAAACCACCTTTAACTCCTCCAACCCACAACTGGTTTCACATTTGCAAGTTCCTTTTTATAGTGAATGTGGAATAAATTTTATATATTGCTGTTTTGATTTAACATGAACAGTAAGGGCATTTTTTAAAACACCAAGATGATGTCCTTATAATTTCTCTTGAATGACATCCATCAAGTTGAGGCGCTGTAATTTCAATTAGCAATGAACACATCTCCACGAAACCTTAGTCTCAGGTCAGTTATAATTTATTTGATCATCTTTATGTAGCTGTTTCTAAATTTTTCTATTTTTGACCCCATTGAAACAAACATCTGTGTGTTCTCTACAGAACTATATTCCTTCTTATTGTTCATTGATTTATAACATGTAGGCCATGTTCTAGAGCAGGAATTGGCAAGCTTTTTCTGTAAGGGGCCGGGTAGTAGATATTTTAGGCTTTGTGGCCATATGAAGTATCTCTGTCTCAATGAGCAATTCTGCTGCTGTAGAACGCAAAGGGCCACCGACACTGTGTAAATGAATGAGCATGGCTGCGTTCCATTTAACCGTAAAACTTTATTTACAAAAATGGATGGCCAGTGGATAGAGCGTTGGCCCTCAGAATGAAGGGTCCCTGGTTCAATTTTGGTCAAGGGCTCATCAATGATTCTCTCTCATCATTGATGTTTCTATTTCTTTCTCCCTTTCCCTTCCTCTCTGAAATCAATAAAAATATATTTAAAAACAAAAAAGAAAACAAAAATAGATGGCGAGCTCATAGACCATGGTTTTGCTGAGCTCTGTCCTAGAGGAGAAAAGAGCCCTGTGGAGTTGGGGTGCAGTGTGAGGGACTCCCTGGGAGAAACGTGCCATTGAGTGCATTCACCTTCTTGTCTGGAAAGAGGCAGAGGTTTTCCAGCTGGGTCCACGGTCGTATTTCCACAAGCCCTTGCCTTCTAGAATGCCTTCGCCTCCTTTTGTATTTTTGTATCAGGGAGAATTCAGATACCAGAGACCTAATTTCTGGGTCACCCGGGCAAACGCTTCACAGTCCAGCCCTGCAAAGAGGCGTCGGCACTCACACTGGCTTTGGTAGAGCTTTGTGTTTAATCTCAATGGCATCGCTTTCTAGCTGTGTGGCTTTGGGCAAACTTCTTAACCTCTCTGAACCTCAGTTTCCTCTCTTGCAAAACAACAATGTCATAATTACCAAAGATGGTTCACTATTGTTATTCTCATTCAGGTAGTTTATTGTTATTATTAAGGCAGTTTTATTATTATTACACCATGGTTGCCCTTAGTTTCAGCTCTGGTTTTGCTGTCCTTGTAAGCATTGCTTCAGTCAGAACTAACTATTCAGAAAAACCTCACCTTCCAGTCTCGCTCTGTTCTGTCTTTTTTACAAAAGTTAAATATGGACACTGACCTGTTCGCATACAAGCCACGTTGACCAGCCACCACTCCGGGACTCGGGGCAGAATGACCGCCACTCGGTCGCCTCTCGCAAGGCCGCAAGGCTGGGTGAGCACGTTGGCGGCCTTTCGGGACAGGATGCCCAGCTCCCCGAAGCTCCACTTCACCTCGCCCCCTTTGCCATTCACCCACCACAGGGCGGGGCTGGCCGGCCTCTCTCCTGTCTGGCCACAGGCACATGAGAGAGAGGAGAAGGCTTAGGACCGGTCACCAAGTAGAGGGACATCCACTGTCATGTGCCCTCGCACCTGTGCTGGGGGGTCAGGGAACAGCCAGCTTGTCTTTGGGGGAACCTCTCCTACTGAATACAGTCTTGGTGCTTGCCCTTCCCTGGCCACTGGCTGGGCATGTGACCCCTTCAGGCCGATGAGTCTCTCTGGGACCATCAGCTCTGGGTGCAGTGCGTCCTCAGGGCGTCCTGGCTTCTGTCCTCACAGGGACGGACACTCCAGCTTCCAGCCCAGTTTTCCAAGCTCCCCCCTAGCCCTGCAATAAAGCTCTTCCTGCTGATGTGAAACTCTGTTCCATCTAAATAACCCCCATGGGTGCCCCAAGCAAGTGGCCTCTGCGTATACCCTTAGGGCGGCGTAGGCTTCGAGGTGACAGAGGGGCTGAGGGTCATGCTGGGCAGAGGCGGCCGGTGACGGATTCTGGAGGAACCATCTCACCAAGGTTTCTCAGAGTGACTCCTCTGTGCTGCCAACCTCCGCCTCATGCAGGGCCTCGGAGGTCATCGCCCTCCCTCCCAGGAATGCTCTTTACCTCCCCGCCCGCCCTCTGGGGAGCTGACCGCAGCCCCCTTCTCCCACAGCCCCCCCTCTCTGTTCCCGCACCCCCCTCTCTCAGTTCCCGCAGCCCCCCTCTCTCTGTTCCCTTACCCGCCCTCTGTTCCCTTACGCCCCTCTCTCTGTTCCCGCACCCCCCTCTCTCAGTTTCCGCACCCCCTCTCTCAGTTCCCGCAGCCCCCCTCTCTCTGTTCCCTTACCCGCCCTCTGTTCCCTTACGCCCCTCTCTCTGTTCCCGCACCCCCCTCTCTCAGTTTCCGCACCCCCTCTCTCAGTTCCCGCAGCCCCCCTCTCTCTGTTCCCTTACCCGCCCTCTGTTCCCTTACGCCCCTCTCTCTGTTCCCGCACCCCCCTCTCTCAGTTTCCGCACCCCCTCTCTCAGTTCCCGCAGCCCCCCTCTCTCTGTTCCCTTACCCGCCCTCTGTTCCCTTACGCCCCTCTCTCTGTTCCCGCACCCCCCTCTCTCAGTTTCCGCACCCCCTCTCTCAGTTCCCGCAGCCCCCCTCTCTCTGTTCCCTTACCCGCCCTCTGTTCCCTTACGCCCCTCTCTCTGTTCCCGCACCCCCCTCTCTCAGTTTCCGCACCCCCTCTCTCAGTTCCCGCAGCCCCCCTCTCTCTGTTCCCTTACCCGCCCTCTGTTCCCTTACGCCCCTCTCTCTGTTCCCGCACCCCCCTCTCTCAGTTTCCGCACCCCCTCTCTCAGTTCCCGCAGCCCCCCTCTCTCTGTTCCCTTACCCGCCCTCTGTTCCCTTACGCCCCTCTCTCTGTTCCCGCACCCCCCTCTCTCAGTTTCCGCACCCCCTCTCTCAGTTCCCGCAGCCCCCCTCTCTCTGTTCCCTTACCCGCCCTCTGTTCCCTTACGCCCCTCTCTCTGTTCCCGCACCCCCCTCTCTCAGTTTCCGCACCCCCTCTCTCAGTTCCCGCAGCCCCCCTCTCTCTGTTCCCTTACCCGCCCTCTGTTCCCTTACGCCCCTCTCTCTGTTCCCGCACCCCCCTCTCTCAGTTTCCGCACCCCCTCTCTCAGTTCCCGCAGCCCCCCTCTCTCTGTTCCCTTACCCGCCCTCTGTTCCCTTACGCCCCTCTCTCTGTTCCCGCACCCCCCTCTCTCAGTTTCCGCACCCCCTCTCTCAGTTCCCGCAGCCCCCCTCTCTCTGTTCCCTTACCCGCCCTCTGTTCCCTTACGCCCCTCTCTCTGTTCCCGCACCCCCCTCTCTCAGTTTCCGCACCCCCTCTCTCAGTTCCCGCAGCCCCCCTCTCTCTGTTCCCTTACCCGCCCTCTGTTCCCTTACGCCCCTCTCTCTGTTCCCGCACCCCCCTCTCTCAGTTTCCGCACCCCCTCTCTCAGTTCCCGCAGCCCCCCTCTCTCTGTTCCCTTACCCGCCCTCTGTTCCCTTACGCCCCTCTCTCTGTTCCCGCACCCCCCTCTCTCAGTTTCCGCACCCCCTCTCTCAGTTCCCGCAGCCCCCCTCTCTCTGTTCCCTTACCCGCCCTCTGTTCCCTTACGCCCCTCTCTCTGTTCCCGCACCCCCCTCTCTCAGTTTCCGCACCCCCTCTCTCAGTTCCCGCAGCCCCCCTCTCTCTGTTCCCTTACCCGCCCTCTGTTCCCTTACGCCCCTCTCTCTGTTCCCGCACCCCCCTCTCTCAGTTTCCGCACCCCCTCTCTCAGTTCCCGCAGCCCCCCTCTCTCTGTTCCCTTACCCGCCCTCTGTTCCCTTACGCCCCTCTCTCTGTTCCCGCACCCCCCTCTCTCAGTTTCCGCACCCCCTCTCTCAGTTCCCGCAGCCCCCCTCTCTCTGTTCCCTTACCCGCCCTCTGTTCCCTTACGCCCCTCTCTCTGTTCCCGCACCCCCCTCTCTCAGTTTCCGCACCCCCTCTCTCAGTTCCCGCAGCCCCCCTCTCTCTGTTCCCTTACCCGCCCTCTGTTCCCTTACGCCCCTCTCTCTGTTCCCGCACCCCCCTCTCTCAGTTTCCGCACCCCCTCTCTCAGTTCCCGCAGCCCCCCTCTCTCTGTTCCCTTACCCGCCCTCTGTTCCCTTACGCCCCTCTCTCTGTTCCCGCACCCCCCTCTCTCAGTTTCCGCACCCCCTCTCTCAGTTCCCGCAGCCCCCCTCTCTCTGTTCCCTTACCCGCCCTCTGTTCCCTTACGCCCCTCTCTCTGTTCCCGCACCCCCCTCTCTCAGTTTCCGCACCCCCTCTCTCAGTTCCCGCAGCCCCCCTCTCTCTGTTCCCTTACCCGCCCTCTGTTCCCTTACGCCCCTCTCTCTGTTCCCGCACCCCCCTCTCTCAGTTTCCGCACCCCCTCTCTCAGTTCCCGCAGCCCCCCTCTCTCTGTTCCCTTACCCGCCCTCTGTTCCCTTACGCCCCTCTCTCTGTTCCCGCACCCCCCTCTCTCAGTTTCCGCACCCCCTCTCTCAGTTCCCGCAGCCCCCCTCTCTCTGTTCCCTTACCCGCCCTCTGTTCCCTTACGCCCCTCTCTCTGTTCCCGCACCCCCCTCTCTCAGTTTCCGCACCCCCTCTCTCAGTTCCCGCAGCCCCCCTCTCTCTGTTCCCTTACCCGCCCTCTGTTCCCTTACGCCCCTCTCTCTGTTCCCGCACCCCCTCTCTCTCTGTTCCCGCATCCCCCTCTCTCTGTTCTCACAGCCCTCCGCTCCTCCCTCCCGGACCGCGGTGCTGCCTGTGTCACAGATGGGCTGGCCCTCCCTGCAGACCGAGCTCTGTGAGGTTGGCCTGGGTCAGGTACCTTTGGGACGGATGACCTTGGATAAGTTGCTTAACTTCTACAAGGTCAAGTTCCTTATCTGCAACCTCCAGGGGTGATGGAATTGGATGAGATAATATAGGTCAGTATTTCCCAACCTTTGTCATCTGAGCATCACTGGTGTTTGCCAGTCTGCCTGCACCTGTGCTGTTCTTGCACAGACTCACTTTTACTCGGACACAGTTCCTTAAAAAGGAAAGGGTGTGCTCACCAGCAGAATGGGAATCAGTACCACTTGCTAAAGAGAGTTTACTGAAAAGTAAGTGTATTGAAAACAAATGTGCCTTTAAACGTTATCTAGAGACTATCAACTGCTACCTGCTCTCTGTACAAGAGAGTGTAGCAAGCGAGGTGCTAAAGCATGAAGGATGGCCCCGGCCAGTGTGGCTCAGTGGATGGGGTGTCAGCCTGCCGACCTAAGGGTCCGGGTGCTATTCCAGTCAAGGCCATGTACCTGGGTGGCAGGCTCCTCCCTGGCCCGGGCCCTCGTCAGGGTGCGTGCAGGAGGCAACCCATCGATGAGTTTGCTCTCACATCCACATTTCTCTCTGTCTTTCCCTCTCCCTTCTACTCTCCCTAAAATCAATGGGAAAATACCTTTGGGTGAGGAGTAAACAAACAAACAAAAAACACGTAAGAGACTGAAAGGAGACTGTCCGGCCGCTGGGGAGGGGACTGAGCGTTAGTCAGCACCTGGGCACAGGGCTCCCACAGCCGCCTGGGCAGCACAGGTGGCCCTGCCAGCTGGTGAGCACCCCCTCCCCTCCCCGAGTGCCCGGGAGGAGGGCAGGGCCGGCCGCGGCTACACAGACGCTTGGGATTTGTTCTTCTCAACCCGAGTCTCTCCTAATCCCTCCAGCGGAGACCAGTCCTCAGACCAGAGCCCAGCTGACGGGGTAGCGGCGAGCAGCCGGCACAGGTGAGGGGCAGGAAGCTGCTGCGGGGGCCTGGAGGAAAATGAAGGAAAAGAGGGACCGAGCCGCCCAGGGGGCCGCGGAGAAAGGCAGCGTCGCTGAGCTCAGTCTCCCCTGGGAGAGCAGCACTGTCTCCCCAGGGGAACCCAGGGGACCCCAGGGGACCTGAGGCCCGAATTAAAGGGGCAAGTGGGCCCAGACCGAGGGGAGAGGTGCCAACACGCACGAAACCACCATCTCGTACCTGCTCCTTCTGGGACCACTGGTCCAGCACATCCCCAGCAAAGTTAAAGCTCTCGGGCAATGGCCTCTCGCCGCGGTTTATGGCTTCAAAGTCAGCAAGGGCCAGGGGCGCCAGGAGCCGGTGACCCGCGTGTAGG